TTGTTACATGTAAGACAACGATCTCGGTGATGGAGGTGCGCCTATCGAACTTCCGAAGTGTTTGTCAGCTGTTTGTGGCGTGATTGCATTACATAGATATTTTCCGACAGATTTTCAAATTTATTATGAGTACAGTTTGATGAAAAAAAAAAATTATAGCATTCAGAGGTCTACAAGAAAAATAACGTTAAACGTTGAGACTATGGAGCTCAGACATGAAACTTATAACACGTAGTTTTCTATTCTCTATGTAAAATCGATCAAGAACTGTATTAAATACTTGTTTACATTGTAAATAAAATGATTATTATTTTACTTGCGTATTTTGTACATTTTTGTACATGAAAAGCATGCTATATTGCTAAGTAGAGTAAGTCTTTTTATGTAGATATTACTGCGCTGTGTAATTAGGTCACGTAATGACCTATGACCTTCTAAAAACTGCATACAGGTATGAAGATATTTGCTCTCTGTATGTTTATATAATAGAGAGATACCACAAATGTATATATTTGAGAATACAGGGATGGAGTGTTGGTCATACATCCTCTGGCCACGGTCAAGTTTTAATAGCGTCTTTCTATAATAAATGATAATCTGGCGATTGTTCGTTTAACGCTGTAACATGGTCACGTGTGAACTGCACACTGAACTCTACTCACAATATTTTAAGAATGGCTAGGGAAGACCAAATAGACTGACCATTGAACACAGGTATGGACTTAAGGGGTTTATTTTGTCGGTAAATATATCAAATTACTTAATTTAAAGTACATTTATCATCTCGTAGACTATAGATGATATTTCGTCATTTTCAGGAACTCCCTTAATTCTATTCATTGAGGTTGTTGAAAACCCAATAATTTTAACTTATTTGTTTGTTCCCTGCCTCTGTTTAAAAGTTGTTCGCGATCGAAACATGCTCTGCAAAAACTGTAGTTGAAGTCATCCCAGTTTTTAAATATAGTTTTGTTGTTCGTTTACCATAATCGCCTTTAATTAGTAAAATATCCAAACATGAAACAGATGATCAGGAAGATTAACACTTGTAACCAATAGCCACTGTGACGTATCTATTGTGCGATTTTTGTTCTGTGCTGAAAACACGTCAGGGCCTTAGATAGAAACACATGTAATTGTAACAGGGTTTTCTTGTAAAAAGAAATAACTGTTGTGGCTCAGGCTCTGTCAATTTACTAGGTTGAATGCAGTATATCCGATTGAGTACCCGGCATCCGAATAACCGAGTACCGATTTTAGTATAAATTCAATACTCGGACGTTCGATATCGAGTACCTGCTTAACCGGGTACGCGTTGACATTCCCCATATATATAAATAATCCTTTAGCATATTAAATTGATAATATTATTCGATAATCACAATAAATGTATAATAGAACAGTAAGAGTTATTCCCCTTACATCACATACATATACACTCAACAAAAAAAGTTAAGGGCGAAGTAGAGAAATTTATTTTATGCAAGATATTTCGTAAATCTAGTGGAAACAAATGATACATTAAACATTAAACAATAATAAATTTCCAATAATGAACAACTGAACAACATGCAGTTGGAAAAACAAGGAGAATATCCATCAACACAAGATTTCAAAAGGAAAACCAAACAGGACTGTGAGGGTTTTAATGCATGAACAGTCCAAACTTTCTTTTCAGTATCTTGTGTGACCACCTCTAGCCCTTATCACTTCCCTGCATCGATTTGGAAAACTGTTAATTAAATTCCGGAAGTTATCCTGGGGAATTCTTGACCATTCCTCAACAAGAGCAATCTCAAGTTCACGGAGCGTGTTAGGCTGGTTTTGCCTTTCTAAAATTTGTTTCTGGAGCATGTCCCATGTATGCTCTATTGGATTAAGGTCAGGCGATTTTGCTGGCCAATCCATTCTCTCGATTGTTTCCTCTTCCAAATAATGGTTGACCACTCTCGCACGGTGGGGCCTGGCATTGTCATCCATCAAAATGAAATTATCACCGATAGCGCCAGCGTAAGGTCTTACAATAGGTGCAAGGATCTCATCCCTGTAACGGACACCGGTGAGAGATCCATTCCTTATGACATAGAGGTCTGTGGAACCGTCGTAACTTATACCTGCCCAAACCATGGCTGACCCACAACCAAACCGGTCATGTTCAGCAACGCAACAGTCCCTGAATCGCTCGTTTTTCTTCCTCCACACACGCCTACGGCCATCATTGAAATCTAGACAAAATCTGGATTCATCAGTCCATAACACTCCTTGGATATGATGATGGTCCCAGTTGACATGGTCTTGAGCAAACTGGAGGCGACGGTTGCGATGTCCCACGGTCAAAGGTGGGCGCACTGCAGGTCTTTTGGCACGTAATCCCGCATCATGAAGTCTGTTTCGTAAGGTTTGTGCGGAGATCCGTATACCTGTTGCTACTGTCAGCTCTCTGTTGAGTGCAACTGCTGATGACATTCGATTTCTTTTGGCATGTAGTGCTATTTGTCTATCTTGTCTGACAGTTGTACTTTTTGGGCGACCACTTTTAGGTCTCCGTTTGACGCTATTAGTCTGTTCATATCGTTCCAACAAACGTCCGATTACAGAATGACTTACACCCAGTTGCGCACCAACTTGACGTTGTTAGCATCCAGATTCTAGCATTCCAATGGCCCTTGCGGCTTCCTCTACTGTCAGATGTCTTCTTTGAGGCATGATAACTTATTAAAGGGCAAAAAGCAAGTAATATTAAACAAATAGTCGAATCTTTTTCCTTTTGAAGTTTGTCAGTGGGTATACAAGACAACCAATATCACAGGAATGTGGATAATGCCAAACTTTCAATAACCGAAAATCTCGAGAAAAGAGCACAATTCAAGAGTGTGTTTGAATAACAATTCATGAACATGTATGGAAACCCAGATAAGGCAAAAGATACAACATAATATAGTAATAGTTTTTAAAATTTTTAAAAAAATTAAGTGGCCCTTAACTTTTTTTGTTGAGTATATATATACATCCATAAGTTCAAATAAACCTTTTACCTTTTACCGGTCCTTCGGATGAGACCCGTGTCGCAGTAGGTGCTGTCACGAAAAAGATCCCTCACTGCTCAATGGCCCTGAGTGCCGAGTATAGGTCTAAATTTGTAGCTCTCTGTCGGCAAGTGGTGGCGTCTCCATGTGAGTGAAAAATTCTCGAGAGGGACGTTAAACAACAAACAAACAAAAAACCGCTTGAGGTTTTAATTAGAAAAGATAACCTACGTGAAATTGATATCTGTGTTTGTGAGGGAATATACAAAAACAATATAGAAACTGATTTGTCAAGAACCTGTGCTTTAATTCAAATCTACTGCAAAAATTAGGCTGATCTAACCACGGGATCTATAAAAATTATCACCATAGAAATATATAAACACAGTCACAATTTTCAATTTAAGGATACATGTATTTGTGCTCAGTTTTTCGAAATGTAAAATGTAACATTTTTTAAAAAAAAATCTTAAAGAACTTTACTCTGATTTATAAATTATGGATAGCTGAGATAATTATATCCCTTAACATAACAAAATGATATACCTGGACGTGTCTACTAATGGGAACATTAATACGACAGTTTTTGAATGTGAACATTTTGCCTATCAGTTAGGTAACATGAACATTTTTCCTCACGATGTATATAATGTCTTACTGTTTGAACAAACTCCTCAGCAGTGTCGTATGAATTTTACATTTTCTCTTACAGTGTCTTAGGATGTAAACATGTTCTCAGGCAGTGTTTCATGACGTAAACATTTTCTCTAGTGCCTTATGGTGTAAACATTCTCTCTTGCAGTGTCTGAGGATGTAAACATTTTCTTCTTACAGTGTCTTATGATGTAAACATGTTCTCAGGCAGTGTCTCATGACGTAAACATTTTCTCCAACAGTGTCTTTTGATGCAAACATTTTCTTCCACTGTGTCTTTTAATGAAAACTTTTTCTCTCACGGTGTCTTTTGGTGTAAACATTTTTTTCTTGCAGTGTCATTTTATGTAAACCTTTTCTCTCTTTTTTTCTTATGATGCAAATATTTTCTATTGTAGTGTCTTTTCATGCAAACATTTTCTCTTACATCGTCTTTTGTTACAAACAGTTTCTCTTGCAGTGTCTTAGGATGTAAACATTTTCATCTAGTGTCTTATGATGTAAACATTTTCTCATGCAGTGTCTTATGATGTAAACATTTTTTCTGGCAGTGTCTTGTGATGTAAACATTTTCTCTTGCAGTGTCTAAGGATGTAAACATTTTCTCTTGCAGTGTTTTATGATGTAAACATTTTCTCTTGCAGTGTCTAAGGATGTAAACATTTTCTCTTACAGTGTTTTATGATGTAAAGATTTTCTCTTGCAGTGTCTTATGATGTAAACATTTTCTCCTGCAGTGTCTAAGGATGTAAACATTTTCTCTAACAGTGTTTTATGATGTAAATAATCTCTTCTACAGTGTCATACGATGTAAACATTTTCTCTTGTAGTGTCTAAGGATGTAAACATTTTCTCTTAGTGTTTTATGATGTAAATATTTTCCTCTACAGTGTCATACGATGTAAACATTTTCTCATGCAGTGTATTATGATGGAAACATTTTCTTTTGCAGTGTCTAAGGATGTAAACATTTTCTCTTTCAGTGTCTTTTTATGTAAAGATTTTCTCTTGCAGTGTCTTATGATGTAAATATTTTCTCTTGCAGTGTCTTATGATGTAAACATTTTCTCAGTGTCTTAGGATATCGACATTTTCTCTTGCAGTGTCTTATGATGTAAACATTTTCTCTTGCAGTGACTAAGGATGTAAACATTTTCTCTTGCAGTGTCTTATGATGTAGACATTTTCTTTTGCAGTGTCTTATGATGTAAACATTTTCTCTTGCAGTGTCTAAGGATGTAAACATTTTCTCTTTCGGTGTCTTATTATGTAAACATTTTCTCTTGCAGTGTCTTAGGATGTAAATGTTTTCTCTTGCAGTGTCTTATGATGTGATAATCGTTGGTGTTGTCTGTGGCGGTGTAGCAGCTATAATACTTATTGCCTTAGTATGGCGGTACTGCACCCTAAAACGGAAGCGACAGTCAACCTACGAGCAGATACTTCCAGACCGGAAGCAGAGTGTTCACATAGAAAACGGAACCCTGGTAGTGAAGTAAGACTCTTTAACTTTATGGTAATATAAATATTATTCATATGTATTTGTCGTTCGTAATGGTATTGCTTAAGTTCGAAACTTTTGAAAATCCAATGAATTACATTTAATTATTGAATAGCAGTATGTAAGGAAATCCTTAGTACATACATAATGAATCCAGACGAGAGAGAGAGAGAGAGAGAGAGAGAGAGAGAGAGAGAGAGATAAATATACCTGTATACAACGGAGCCTCGTTTATCCGGACGTTTTTACCTTCCAGACTTCCTACTTTGCATTATACCATAGTAAACCAAATCTTTTTGAGTTTATGTAAAGCCATGTACATGATAAAAAAAAGGAAAAATTTCAGTAAGCATGGCGGATCTAGGATTCTTGAAAGGGGAGGGGGCAACCAGTTGGGGGTTGGAGTGAAACTGGGTCAAAAATATTGAAGAGGCAGAAAACCACATAAAGATATAGAATATGACAATAATAAAAGTAGCATACTATTGTATAGTGTAAAATAGGTGGCTTGAATACAGAGGGTACCAAGGGACGATGCCTGTGCACATGCAGTCAATCTGGCAAACCTGTACTCAAAGTATTCAAGACACTCATTCAATATACATTTAAAAGTGATAGAAAAAAATTGTAATTTACAAATAACTATATACTTTACATTAAATCGACCTTAATGAATTGAGTTACTGATATAAACTCTATCTGGACCAAAGTTTCATGGACGATGCATCTCGAGATAAACACTACCAAACACGCCTCAGATGCAGCATCTGACCTGGAAAATCTGATTTATATTTTCAAGATGACTGAAACAGATTAAAGTTTTGATACATTCACAAGACACTATAAAACCTATCCAGACCAAACGTGCATGGTTGTTGATTCAAGATATACAAACTACCAAAACATTTAATTGGTGAGAGACATAGCCTTCACTTATAGATAACATTATGTCGATTGATTGATTGTTTGTTGTTTTACGTCCCGTTCGAGAACTTTTCACTTATATAGAGACGTCACCATATACCGATGAAGGGCTTCAAATTTAGACCTTTACTCGGCACTCAGGGCCATTGAGCAGCGAGGGTTCTTTATCGTGCCAACGCCTACCGTGACACGGGGCCTCGGTCTTTAAGGTCTCATCCGAAGGACCCGCAACTTTCACTTCAAAGTGCCAAGCGCTCGGCGAAGGAGCAGCTGCTATCTTTTTTTATTGACTTAGGTCAGTAATGGCCGTGATTCGAACACACGACCTTCCGATCACAAGATAGGCTTTGTAATCTTTGATTACCTATGTTTATTTTTAAATACAGGTGTAGTATTTGATTGTTTTCATATACTATAGTACAACATACTTTGTTGTGCTTAAAGACAAATTGAATAATTTAGAAAGTGGTCTGCTAATATCAGGAATGATATTTTTAATACTTCTGAAGAGATTTCATCAGACTAGTTGGTCAAAAACGTTCTGAATTGAAACGCTAATAGAATTAATTTGGGGGAATAGGTTCTTGAAGAGGTAATTGGGGTTGTAACAGAATCCGCCCAAAAGAATCCGAATTTCAACTTATTACATTTCAATGTTTGGATTAAAAAAAAACCGTAGAGTATGCTTTAAAACGTGTAGGGCAATGGTCATGATGAGTGTACATTCAAAATTAAATTACAAAAGAAGATGGTAACGTGCATGATGAAGTACATGCAAAATAAAGTTGCAAAAAAGAAGATTTATTCTTTCACGGGTGCTTGTAGAGACAATCCCCTCCCCCGGTCAAATACAACCCGACACCCGTTATTTTTTAATCTATTTTATTAGAAATTAGGAAATAATTTAAAATGAACGTTATATCATAAACCATTCGTTGTTTTATAAATTTTTGTAAAAGATAGAACATATGATTTATTAATGAAAAATTCATCTACATTATTTTTTTCACAATTTTGATTTTCTTTATAAACTATTAAATTTTGTATTGTATTTTTAAATGATTTGTAAACATGTGCTAGAAAAATAAATAATAAAAATAAAACAATGAAAACTCCCGGGGTTGGACTAAAACCGGGGGGTTTTGTCCACAGGCACTTGTTTCTCTAATATTTTTTTTACCCATAGTGTTATTATTATTCCATGGGTCAAAAAATTTATTACAGAAACAAGTGCCTGTGGTTTTGTCCGCTAGCACCTGTTGAGGTACAACTACATTACTATCTATACTTTATGTTTTCCTGCTTCCAACCTAATGAAATAAAAATTTACATTTGTTGATTTTAACTGATAAGTTAACTAATTCTAAAGCTGCAGGTTTGGCCGATTTAGGTCATGTGACCGTAATAAGCCGCACTATAAATCAGTTTATCTATAATTGTAACGACCCCTTGGGAGGACTACCTCGAGTGTCTAACATTATTTTAGACATATTTCATGCGCTATATACCCCAAGTGGTTTGTTAATCACCAAAATTTGTAAATGTATTGACATGATGACTCTACTGTCAATCGATGTGAAACCGTCATAAAATGAAGTAATTGAATTCACAGTACCGATACCTGAGTCACAGCAGTACTGAACTACAACTTAGTCTCTAAAGCATGATAACGAAAAACAGGTTGTAGGGTTCGTGTTGATGTCAATCTAACATCACGCTATCATTCCCACAAAGGAGAAATCTATTCACTTCTATTATTGTTACACCAGCACTCTATCCATTTTTATTGCGGTATGTATATATCATGCAGTATGTTAAATGTACTTCTTATATACTTACATATACACAGTTCATCATAATTTACCTATAACCCAATTACTGCTTCATTCATTCATTGGTCTTCAATCTAAATGTATGAAAGTCTTGTCTCAAGGGTTCTTAAAAGGAAAACAATCTGCATAGATCCTTTTGGAGGATATTGTGTATTATGATAGATTTATGTAAATATCGGTAAACTCGCGGCCTATCGCCCCATCTCCCTGTTTGTAGATAAATAAGATCTATTCTTCTGACGGCAATTTGATTCCCAGGATGCCTAGTTGACTTTGTCCTCAGACACAACTCGATCAATCACCAGGCTTTGTTCATTTCCCTGTTTGACTTCTTGGTTTAGATTTTACTGAGGAACTGGGGGGGATTTAATTAGCTGATCTTTGTAAGACCCCTCACTGAAGGAGAGCTACCGCCTTTGTCGCTGTAATAAGATGTATGGATGAAAAGAAAACAGTAACTACCAACATGTAAATTTTAGACAGACATTAATTTCCACTGATACCCATGTCCTCCTCCATTACAATAATTGGATCCACCTCCAAAACAAGAATTTCCAACACCAACTGATGGTTTGCTTAATGTATTTTAAGTCTTTACTTTATTAACCTAATTAATAATTTCAAAATAGTTCGTTTAAATCACATGATATAAGTAACTATTTCAAAAGAAAAATGTTTAAGAAACTTTGTAAAAAGAAAATATTTGGTGAACATTGTTAAGAAATATTGAAATAAAATGAACTGATACTGTTGTGGGAAAATTCACCAAAAGACTGATGATATTCTGTATTACAGAATATTTTTTTATTACATTCGCATTTAATGATCAATATTTGAAAAATTGCAGTGTATTAAAAAAGTAAGTGTTAAGGTATAAATGATGAATTCGATTTTTTTCTTCATTTGATAAAGAAATTTAATAATTACATATGTACATTAAACTTTGACCTTTAAGAAAGAAAGAGAGGGGCGTGTACTTTCCCCTGTAAATGCACCAAACAACATTCTATGTATATGAAAGCTTTGGGCGTATTTTGTGTTCATCCACCCCTTCAGTAGCAAGATTTCTGGATCCACCCCGAATTCTTTCTCGTAAAGTTCTTAATAAAACTTAGTATATTCTTAACTTAGTTCTAGTGGGAAACTTATACACCTCGGGATCAACATCGAGTTGTTCCATTCATGAGTCAGTTTTGGGAAAACACCTGTCAGTCTACATATAATAAACTGGCATAATATACGTTTGTAAGCAGAGTTTTTATATCTAACAATTATATTATTTTCTACAAGCTACAGAATATTTTGTCTTTTTTAATTTGAAGTAAAAAGCATTTTTTTTCTTTTATTGTGACATGGATGAGGTAGGACTGTTATTGATGACGTCACCAAGTTCTTCTACTTGGCATAATAAAAGAGGTGTTTTGTCAAAATCTCAAAAAGTGTCCTCACAGTCGTAAATTAAGAAAATTAAAACTAACAGCTTCAATATATACATCTGAATGAGTTGCGATTGTAATTTAGTGTGCGTAATGACAAAAATAAAATAACCTGAACAAACCACACACTTCTCATTTGACATAAATCTAGTAAATCATCATTAGAAATATTTTAATAATAAAGATCCCGTTCAAATCTGTATCGATCACTTAGAGCCTTGTAAATAGTTCGACAGTTTTCCGTATCACTACTATTCATTTTGCCAATAAATAAATGTCTAATTTAATTGCTCATTTAATTATTTTCAAACATTGACGATTGATTTTGCTCATGAGACGCCGCGAACGGCATTAACAGCCGTATAATGGACAAACATAGCTACATACTCAAGGTCTTCGTCCGTCAGGTAAGAATAGAATATTCTAAGGTACAATGTCTGAGTACAATGAAAAGTACAATCACCAATAAGTGTCTAAATGTAAAGTACAAATACTTAATTAGTGTCCTAATAAGGAAATACATACTAGTTATAAAGAACAAACTAAGTCTAGTCATTATACAAGTCTGCCTTTCTTATCTAGTATCAGGTTAGTAATTTGGTATGTAACAAATTATTCTTGTCTCTCAGACATTGTAGACAAAGTGACGTCACACAATTAGAGACAAGGAGATAATGGACCTTAATTGTCAACTGACATTTATGATATAACTTTTCAGGAATATTTTCTTAACACGATCCCCTAAAATCTCTCTCTCTCTCTCTCTCTGCACAGAACAGAATTGCAAACTTCTCGTGACCTT